CAGGTTGGCCACCAGCTCTCGGCTGACCGTGTGCTGCCAGTTCTGGGAATCCAGCTCGGGCTCCAGGTCGGAGAGCTGGCCCTGCTCGTCCTCCAGGAGATGAGGCAGGAAGGGGTCCACGCCGAAACCCAGGTTGGGCGACTCGATGCTCCTGGGAGGGTGAAAGGCGGCGGTGGGAGTACTCTGCAGCCACCCGCATCCAGCCAGCCCACCCCGCAGCGCTCCCAGTACAGCCAATATCTACCTGGGCCCTATTTCGGCTTGAACCCGGGGCCTTCAGCACAAGAAGTACAAGCCTCTGACTCTTGAGCTAAAGACTAGGTCCCCCAGCAGACATCTATATAGGTCCTTTAAGCTCCTGCGTGAGACACAAGGGAACAGAGGTGCCCCCTCGCCCCAGGAGGATGGAGAACTAACAGGGGACTCCCTCCCGGGGCAGCCCTGGGCATCGCCTCCCCTTGTGCTCTCTCAAGGCTCGCTTACGGGGAGGGAAAAGCTAGGAAGGCACAGATGGAGCCCCTCGGACCCCCAAAGCGGGGGCACAGCCCCGGCACACCCCTACAGTGACCCTCCTGCTCTGAAGGAAAACCGGTCCCAGGGACCCCGGCCGGCTCGGGGCGGCGCGGTAGAGACGGCAGAGACCGAGGCTGGGCCACTCACCTGCGTCCCATCTTCGGCGTGTACGGGGGGGTGGGATTTTCCAGCGACCTGGGGAGGAATGAGAGAGTCCCCCTCGTGTCTCGATGTCCCGGCCCCCCTCCTCCCATCGCTGCACCCCGTGGGGCAGCACCCAGCAGCGTTTCCATAAGCCCCTCCAGACGTGGGTCCGGTGCTACTGGCTGCGAGGGGGGTTTGGGGCATAAATGGGGATTAAAGCCCAATTCTCTCCGTTTTCCCCTGGCAAACGTCAGCCAGGAGGCTCTGCGGGCAGCTGGGCGCTGCGGGACCGGGACCGCCCCGCCCTGCGTGCCTGGGGCTTGGGCCTTGACACACAGGCTTAGCAAAAGCCTTCCCAAGAGACAGTGTCTCAGCCCAAGGGGTTCAGCTTTCAGACCCCCGGCCGTCCCAGCTCCTCTTGGAAGCCAAACGTGCCCAGGGGAACCCAGGTCCTCCCTGCCCGGGACTCGGATGGCGTCTCCCACCTTGTGGACAGGCTGGGAGAGGGAGACGGTGGCGGCCGAGGC